GCCCTTAGAGAGGTTCTGGGAGGAACAATTTGGCACCACAGATGACGAGGAGAGTTTCGAAGGGTTTTCAGAATTCGAGGAAGAATCGGACTGGGAGGGGCGCCCCATGGGTGGGAACTTCGGCAGGTGGGAAGAGGTTTTTGCACCCACGGAGGAGGAGGACAGCTCCTTCCGGGGTTTCCCCATCTCACCGACGGGAGGGGAGGAAAAGAGAGAGCCCACCGGTCGAACGGGGAGTGAGGGGGGCCCTGGAGGGGAGGTGGATGTCAGGGAACTGACATCAGAGACACGGGAGAAGGAGAGGGTCTCAGACTCTGCAGATGAAGGTCCCAGGACAAGGGGGAGACTCAGCTCAGTGGAAGGGGAAGGAAATACACGTTACACCAAGAGTCCAGGAGAGCAAGGGGAGGAGGAGGTGGAAGGGCTCCGGGATTCTTCCCTGGAAGTCAGTGAAGAGAGCCCAGGCACCCCGTTACCCACGCCCACCCTGCGCAGGAGACTCCCGCGCAATGAGAGGTGGAGACGATTGGGTGTCAAACAGCTTTTATGTTGGCAGAGGTTCAAGAAGCACCCACAGACAGATTCTGCCAGCGACTGAGAGCAGCCGCGCGGAGATGGGCTGTGCAGTCCGAAGGATTTAACCAGGCAACCAAGCACCCAAACGGGGTCGGTTTACGCACGAGTAACTCCAAACAAGGGACGCGGGTGGCGCTGTGGGTAAAAGCCTCAGCTCCTAGGGCTTGCCGATCGAAAGGTCGGCGGTTCGAATCCCCGCGGCGGGGTGCGCTCCCGTTGCTCGGTCCCAGCGCCTGCCAACCTAGCAGTTCGAAAGCACCCCCGGGTGCAAGTAGATAAATAGGGACCGCTTACCAGCGGGAAGGTAAACGGTGTTTTCGTGTGTGGCTCTGGCTCACCAGAGCAGCGATGTCACGCTGGCCACGTGACCCGGAAGTGTCTGCGGACAGCGCTGGCCCCCGGCCTCTAGAGTGAGATGGGCGCACCAACCCCAGAGTCTGTCAAGACTGGCCCGTACGGGCAGGGGTACCTTTACCTTTACCTTTTAACTCCAAACTACTACAGACCCTATGAAGAGTTGAAGAGTAGACTGACAGGTTGGTTGCAGTACCACCAAATTAATGCACTATGGAAGGAAGACAGAAAGATTGGAATGAATGAGAAAAAAATCTAAATTCCAGGTAGAAATAATACAAAGTAAAACTAAACTGCTATCTAAAATGTATACTCAACTGTTGGATTGGGACACCAAGGATGAAGAGGTCAAAGAAGTTATGGTAAAGTGGGCCATAGATATTGGATATAATTTGGATTTTGAAAAATGGACAAAGTTGTGGACTAAAGGAATGAAATTTACAGCCTGTACCGCCCTTAGAGAAAATATGGAAAAGATGATGTATCGTTGGTACATAACTCCCGTGAAACTGCAAAAAATGTACAAGAACGGGGACAGAAGGTGTTGGAAATGTAAATCTAAAGAGGGAAGCTTCTATCACATGTGGTGGAAATGTGAAGAAGTTAAGAAATTTTGGGATTCCATTTATAATGAATTAAAGAAAATATTTAAATACACCTTTGTCAAAAAGCCTGAAGCTTTCCTTTTGGGAATGATAGGAGAGGAGATTAAAAAGGAGGACTATGTAATATTTCAATATGCAACTGTAGCTGCCAGGATTTTATTAGCACAAAACTGGAAAACCCCAAATATCCCGACCGTGAAGGATTGGCAAATCAAATTGTTTGAGTATATGGAGTTGGCAAAAATGACGCAGAACATTAGACAGCAAAAAGGGAGAAAGTTTATTGATGAATGGTCTAGATTTATAACATATATAGAAACAAATTCTAGAGATATAAAAATCACAGTAGGTGTAATATAACTCTTGCGACGCGTAGATATTTTATAATGAAAAACTTGTACCATCCGTGGTGTCACTTCCAAAACTAGCATCTGCAAAGATTTCAAGACCTCCAGTCTTCTGACTGGTGAACCTCAGCCTGTAGTGCAAAGTCCCTTTCAAATAGCGGGCTATGCGCTTCAGAGCTTTCCAATCCTGAACAGTAGGATTGTTGGCATGTCTGCTAAGCAGGTTAGTGCTTACAGCTATGTCAGGTTTTGAGCACCTAGCAATAAAATTCAACTTGCCTAGAATGCATCTGTACAGCGTAGTGTCAAAAAACGCTTCAGCAGTACTATCTACCTGGTAACCTGTCACCATCGGCGTGTCTGCTGGGTTTGCATCAACTAAATTCAACCTGGTTAATACATCAGCAATATTCTGTGTTTGGTGTACCAGAAAATTACCTGCTTGGTCCCTCTCCACCTGCAGAGAAAGAAAGTTGGATACCTCACCAAGATCCTTCATGTCAAAGTGCTCTTTCAGCTGAGCTAGGGTGCTTTGGTACAAAGCCTGATTCTTCCAAAACATCAGAAGATCATCAACAAAACATAAACAATACAGTTTGTTTTGCCCCTCCTCCTCGACAAACACACATGGATCAGCTTTGCCCTGGTGAAAACCTAGAGAAAGCAACGTCTCAGTGAGTTTTGTGTTCCAACACCTCGCACTCTGCTTGAGACCATATAATGATTTCCGCAGCAATTTGCTTTGGTTGGTGGCTGGACTCCTTCCTTTATTCCGCAGGGACCCACGGGCTCTGCCCGATGAGCTGGGTGGCTGAGCAGCCTCGCACCTGGATTCTCCCCCCCCCAACACCAAATTAACCTTTTATTGGTCAGACCTAGGAGACTTGATAGCCTTTGGGGGCATACAACACCCGGACTCCGAGCCTTCTTCCCTTGGGGGTCTGCCAGCTGGTGCCTCCCCCCCCTTTCGCCCAGCCAGTCCATGACAGCAACAGCAGCAACAACAACAGTAAAATAAGTATGATAATAATATGCACACTGGTCCTCTGGCAGGAAGAATGATAACTTCTGGGACTATGGAAAAATACTATTTTCCCCAAACCCCAGAATAAGCAGGAGCTCTGGGGTTGCCCCATGGGGTTCATGAGTGAAGATGGGGCCCCCAGGAAACTTCCCTCGTACCTGCAGCCCATCCTTCCCCCTCTTGCAATAAGGCTTGGGGAAAATCTCCCATTAAATTACAGTATTTTAAGTGTTCTTCAGAACACGTAGGAGGCAGGGAGAAGTTCTAGTGAAGAAGCAGTATTCAGAGATCATGCGGTGGTGGGGGTGAGAGAGTTTGGTGCAAAAGCAAGTCACGCACAGATGCACCCGTCTTGCATGCTTGAGTACAGCAACTCCAGGGCATAAGCCAAGTATCGGCAGGGTAGGGGCCATGTGTAGAGCAATTCCCACGCTGAGCTCAAAAACACACACAGAGGCAGTAGGAGTTCTTCAGTAATCGTTTACTGAGTTTTCAAAGCCTACAGTTCTCCCTGGGCCCCCAGTGATACACAAAACTTTGCTTCTGAGAGCAAATCCAGTTTCAGCCATAAAGAAATACAGCACACAGGATATCTAAGTCAGGCACACAAACCGGCAGAAGGGAGCAAGGGAGGAAAGAGGCTGGAAGGACACAGGGCAATGGAGGTGTGTTTCCCTTCATGTGGTTTTGGAGGGAAGTCAGCAACTCGGCATCTGCAGGGGCTTCACGAAGCAAAGCTTTCTGCCGGCTGCTTCCAGGCAAATGAGCATCCCTGACACTGTGATCTGTGGGGTGTTGCCATATCAGTTGTTTTTGGAAGGTTATCATGATGTGGTCTAGAAACCAATATGGAAAAATATATCGCCCAGCCCTAATTCCCACTGACCACCAAGTAATCCAGATAAACCCTCACCCCTTCTCTATCAAAAGGTACTTTACATCTTAGATTATAATCACATTGTTTGACATAGCCTTCAATATTTCATTACTATACAGTTTTACACATAAATTCCAGAACTTCGCATACACAACATGTGTTAATGACTGTCAGAGCTGCCTTAGGTCCCAGCTCACAAAGGACCAACGCCAGTTCGTTGTTATATAAAACAGTCTTTATTTAAGCTCAGCTTCGCTTTTACATCCGCGGCGCACAGCTCTACGTCTCAAACTGTAGACCGCCGAAGCTCCGTCTGAGTCTCCTCCCCCCAGACACCAGTTTAAGACTCTAGCCTTGCTCCACCTCTTCCTTTGCTCTTTCCTCCTCTGGGTCCGCCTGTCCGCCGGGGTCTTGCCCTTCCTAGACTCTTCTGATGCTGAGTCTCCTGATTCTTCCCCCTCCCTCCGGCGGGCTTTAGGACCTGGTTCCCACTCCGGGTTTTCTGCTGTCCCGCGCGCCTGTACATTTGAACTTGGCACGCACGCCCAGCCTGCCACCTTCCTCCTGACCATTACACTGCTCCTGTCACTGCTTTCCCCTTCGGGGATGCTACCTGGGTCTGACCTCCCCTCCGTTCCCCCACTCTCCGACAGAGGCGTGGTCAGCCCTGACTCCTCTTCCCTCCCTGCTGGAGGAGACGCTGGCTCTGACCCATGGAACTCTTCCCCCCCACTACGCTCTGGTGGGGAAGCTGGTCCTAATCTCCAGCTACTGCTTTGGGAGTCTCCGCTGGCCCCTTGCTTCTGTTGCGTCCCCCCCTGGGACCCCCCTTGCCCTGGCCATCGGCGCCCCCTTCTGGGAATCTTCTGACTCACTGGAGAGGCTTATGGAATCTCTCGGGTCACTGTCATTCTGCCCTCAGATTCTTCCCCTTCACTCTCCATTTCCTCTCTCCCCTGTGGCTCTGCTCCTGAGCCCCTGACAATGACTGATTTCCTGCTGAGTTCATTTCTGTGAAGAAAAGAGTGGACTCCGAGAGGAAGATGTCCCACACTCTATACATCTAAATGGGTTCTTCCATGTGAGAGTCCCTGGATTTTCCTTAAACACTCCATTGTAAATAAAACACTTTTTGCAATCTTTTCATTTAAGCTGCTTCTCCTCTTTGAGTTTGTTGATGGTTTGTAGGGTTTCAACTCCTAAAGCTCTTCCTGTTCTACGTTCCTGATATTTATAAGGTTTGTCTTTTGTGTGAGTTTGTTGACATAAATCAAGGGTTCCACTCTGACTGCAGCTCCTACCACACGCCATACATTTAAACAGTTTATCCGTCATGTGTCTGCCAATGTTTTCTAAGGTGTCCACTCTGACTGAAGCTCTTTCCGCACTCCAGGCATTTAAATGGTTTCTCTCCTGTGTGAGTCCGTTGATGTCTTCTAAGGCTTCCATTATGACTAAAGCTCTTTCCGCACTCTATACATTTATATGGTTTCTCCCCTGTATGAGTCCGTTGATGTGCTCTAAGCTTTCCATTATGACTAAAGCTCTTTTTCCACTCTATACATTTATATGGTTTCTCCCCTGTGTGAGTCCCTTGATGTGTTCTAAGGCTTCCATTATCACTAAAGCTCTTTCCGCACTCCAGGCATTTAAATGGTTTCTCTCCTGTGTGAGTCCGTTGATGTCTTCTAAGGCTTCCATTATCACTAAAGCTCTTTCCGCACTCCAGGCATTTAAATGGTTTCACCCCTGTATGAGTCCGTTGATGTGCTCTAAGGTTTCCATTCTGACTGAAGCTCTTTTTGCACTCTATACATTTATATGGTTTCTCCCCTGTGTGAGTCCGTTGATGTCTTCTAAGGCTTCCATTATCACTAAAGCTCTTTCCGCAATCCAGGCATTTAAATGGTTTCTCCCCTGTGTGAGTCCGTTGATGTCTTCTAAGGGTTCCATTATCACTAAAGCTCTTTCCACACTCTATACATTTATATGGTTTCTCCCCTGTATGAGTCCGTTGATGTGCTCTAAGCTTTCCATTATGACTAAAGCTCTTTTTGCACTCTATACATTTATATAGTTTCTCCCCTGTGTGAGTCCGTTGATGTCTTCTAAGGCTTCCATTATCACTAAAGCTCTTTCCGCAATCCAGGCATTTAAATGGTTTCTCTCCTGTGTGAGTCCGTTGATGTCTTCTAAGGCTTCCATTATCACTAAAGCTCTTTCCGCACTCCAGGCATTTAAATGGTTTCACCCCTGTATGAGTCCGTTGATGTGCTCTAAGGCTTCCATTCTGACTAAAGCTCTTTTTGCACTCTATACATTTATATGGTTTCTCCCCTGTGTGAGTCCGTTGATGTGTTCTAAGGCTTCCATTATCACTAAAGCTCTTTCCGCACTCCTGGCATTTAAATGGTTTCTCCCCTGTGTGAGTCCGTTGATGTGTTCTAAGGTGTTCATTATCAGTAAAGCTCTTTCCGCACTCCAGGCATTTAAATGGTTTCTCTCCTGTGTGAGTCCGTTGATGTTTTCTAAGGTATTGAATATCAGAAAAGCTCTTTCCGCACTCCAGGCATTTAAATGGTTTCTCCCCTGTGTGAGTCCGTTGATGTCTTCTAAGGTATTCATTATCAGAAAAGCTCTTTCCGCACTCCAGGCATTTAAATGGTTTCTCCCCTGTGTGAGTCCGTTGATGTCTTCTAAGGCTTCCATTATCACTAAAGCTCTTTGCGCACTCTATACATTTATATGGTTTCTCCCCTATGTGAGTCCGTTGATGTATTCTAAGGTGTCCATTCTGACTAAAGCTCTTTCCGCACTCTATACATTTATATGGTTTCTCCCCTGTGTGAATCCGCTGGTGTAATTTAAGGTATCCACTCTGACTGAAGCTCTTTCCGCACTCCAGGCATTTAAATGGTTTCTCCCCTGTGTGAGTCCGTTGATGTGCTCTAAGGTGTCCACTGTGACTGAAGCTCTTTCCGCACTCCAGGCATTTAAATGGTTTCTCTCCTGTGTGAGTCCGTTGATGTGCTCTAAGGATTACATTATGACTAAAGCTCTTTTTGCACTCTATACATTTAAATGGGTTCTCCCCTGTATGAGTCCGTTGATGTGCTCTAAGGTTTCCATTATGACTAAAGCTCTTTTTGCACTCTATACATTTAAATGGGTTCTCCCCTGTATGAGTCCGTTGATGTCTTCTAAGGCTTCCATTATCACTAAAGCTCATTCCGCACTCTATACATTTAAATGGTTTCTCCCCTGTGTGAGTCCGTTGATGTATTCTAAGGTGTCCATTCAGACTGAAGCGCTTTCCGCACTCCAGGCATTTAAATGGTTTCTCCCCTGTGTGAGTCCGTTGATGTATTCTAAGGCTTCCACTAATACTAAAACTCTTCTCACACTCCATACATTTATATGGTTTCTTCCCTGTGTGAATCCGCTGGTGTAATTTAAGGTCTCCATTCTGACTGAAGCTCTTTCCGCACTCCATGCATTTAAATGGTGTCTCCCCTGTTGGAGGTCGTTGATGTGAACTATGTGTGCTCATTCAATGATGCATAGTCCGCATTTCACACATTTTACTTTCTATTCCTAATGGGTGGGACAGGTATCCAATCCCCTGGAGTTTTGACTGTCTTCTCCATCTCCTTCTTCAGAGTGGGAAGAAAGGGAATCCTGTTTTGATTTCAAGGAAGAGAACAAAGGGAAAGAGAACACATCAAGCTCCATTAGCACCTTCTCCTATTTCAACGTCTCCTACATTCCCCCACCTCCTACCCATGTTCCCAACTTTCAGGAAATGAATATGCAATTATGTCAAATGATAGTAATGCATCAGCAACCTTTCCTATTCCTCAACCAATGTTCATAAAGCAGCTTGATTTTTTAAAGAACGATGTGCTGTCTGATCTCGTGCCCATCTTTTGTCGCAGGACTATCCTAAAATGACACTGAAAAGCAGGATATTCAAGGCAAAATGATAAACTGTACTTAGTGGAATATGTAGTACCTTGGAAATGTAGTATTGATTCACTAATGGCCTGAAGTTGTGTTATTTCTGGGGACATGAATTTATTCCTGTTCTGTCTTAAAGATCATAATCATACGATGTCATGGGGTGTTAGGGGAGCGGTAGTACCTTTGGTAGGGGAAATGTCATGCACCTTATGGGGTAATTTATCCACCATTGTTCCCCACCCTGAACTCAGCTCTCACCTGTTTCTTCCAGAAGCTGTCAGGATGGAATAGGGGCCACAATCCCAGGAACGGCTTCAACTGGCTGGCTAAACCAGGTGAGGATATCTGATGGGTCTCAAATCCTTGGTGTATGAGGGAATTCTGTTGAGGTGAAGGCAGGCCCTGGTGGATGTAGAGGATGAGAACAACAGTGAATCCCACAGTCAAGAAGGCAGATTCTGCCCATTCTGCAGAGGAAAGTGAAGGGCAGATGGGGCTCGTCAACCTGGGAAGGGAACACTTTGAGAAGGAAAACTCTGGTCGTAATACTTTGGTGCACTCCTTCGCTTCCTCGTGAGTTATCTTCAGGAGAAGAAAAAGCTATGGAGGAAAACTCACACAAATCCAGAGTGGACTCTCTAAGATGGTTGGATGGTGTCCTGCACACCTCCTTCCACTCACTCCTGCAGCCAAGCTGGTGCCTAACATACTGCTCTGCTTTCCTTGGGACCATATAAGCCAGGCTGAGAAGGGGGTCTTGTTGTCTAGGCCAGTGTTTCCCAACCTTGGGCCTCCAGCTGTTTTTGAACTACAATTCCCATCATCCCTGACCACTGGTCTTGCTACCTAGGGATGATGGGAGTTGTAGTCCAAAAACAGCTGGAGGCCCAAGGTTGGGAAACACTGGTCTAGGCAGCCCTGAACCCCCAAACACACTGTCCAGGCTGGCAGGACTGCTAACACAGCAGTTTCAGGGGGAGCGATGAACTCAGACCTGTGTATCAAAATCTCTCCAATGTGGAATATGTAAAACAGAAGTGCTGTTTATATCATACATCAATTAAAAAGTATTCAGAATATTTGTCTTTTGAAGAAAAGATCACCAAGTATCTGATGGCCCTTTCAAAGCTAATGAAAGTCCTGTGCCTGGAGCTTTTGGGGGTGCAGGACCAGGAAAGCTTCTGCCACCATGATCCTTCCAGTTGGGATTCAGGCCTCATCATGCAACAGAAACTGTCCTGGTTGTGCTGCGTGATGATCTCTGATGGGCTAGAGTCTGAGGGGAAAGCTGTTTCCTGGTTCTGCTGGATCTCTCAGTGGCTTTGGAGACCTTTGACCATTGTATCCTTCTGGACCCTCTGGGGTGCTGGGGACCCTGCTATGCAGTGGTTCCCCTCCTTCCTCCTGGGCCATGTCCAGAAAATGGTGTTGGGGGATGAGTGTTCAGACCCCTGGGCTTTCACTTGTGGGGTGCCTCGGGGCTCTGTCCTCTCCCCATGCTTTTTAAGATCTATATGAAGCCGGGACTTCCGGTGGAGTGCATTCTCGTTGCGGGAGGGGATTTTGCCGCTGGGAAAATCCCGAGCTACTTTGGGGGAAAGGGGGTGCTGAAGGGCGCGGAAGCCCCCCCCAAATACCTCTTGAAAGGTGTCAAGAGGGCTAGGAACCCTGCAAGACCATCAGCGGCTCGCTCGACCGTCAGGTAGCTTCAAAATAAATGAAGTGAAGAGAACGGCGGGTGGAGCGGCAGGTCAAAGGGAAGCCATTACCTACCCCCAAGCAGCGAAGCCCCGGTCTCGCGGAGAGAAGCGCGACGCCCTCAAACTAGACGAAACCTGGGACTAAACTATACTTGGTAAACGTTTTGAATAAAAAAAAATCTCGGGAGTTTAAGAAATAAGCAGAGTTCGGCCGTTGTTCGGAATCTACAAGGCGCAAGGTAATCTCCAGAGTGGCGAGAGAGAGTGAAATGTATTAGCGTATTACATCCGTTTCCCTGAAAAGTTGCAACTTTAAAAATAGCCGGCAGAGAGAGGATACTTAGTATCAAAAGCCGGCTGAACTTTAACAGGGAACAGAAAGTATTATTTGAGAGCTGTAAATCCCTAATGAGCTGGCGTGTAGATTAGAAGAGGAGAGAAGACCCGTCCTCCATCTTAGCAGTGTTTTTTAGCAGCGTTCCAGCAGCGAGAAAGCAAGGGATAAGAAAACAGAAGAAACAGGATTGGAGGTGCTGAGAGAAGTTAAACGGAGTATAACTGGAAATTATAACTAATAGAGACTGCATTATTCTCGGTTGGCAGTATCGGATGGGACATTTAAGGACTCTGGGAACTGGGATGTTGTGAGAGTTAACGGATATCTAATGAGTTTTTGGAAACTACTCTCTCACTTCCAGGAAGTTACCTTAGAAAAGAAGGCGTTTGCTTGATAAAGACAAAGAAGGACACCTAGTGGACAAAATAAGATAAAACAATTGGTTTTTGGAGATATGCTCGCATTGTCACATCTTTAATGAAGGATTGTACAGATTTGAGGACCCTCTCCTGCGCTATTTAATTTTTCCATTTCTTAACCTAAATCTTAACAGGTCCTAATTAACTAATTGAAACAGAGACTAGTGTGACTACTGACTGACAAAGACATTGGCGGATAGAATAGCACCCTGACCACCTTCACTTGGGTTGAAAAATCCTCTCATAATATTGGCACACAGGATCTTAAATTTGAGAATAATTTGTGTCTGGCAAACTGAAGTCTGGTAATATTAAAGTAAAAGAAAAGGGCCCCAAAGTAAATATTCGGACTAATTGGAGTAGAGGCAAGAAGAAGAACGAAAGAATGGTCGGAATGCAGGAACGTTGATAATTCCCCTTTGGACGTACTAAAGTGAACATTATTATTGAGTGTAAAACTTAGTGGTTAAAATCTGGGGTTGAGGATATTGGTAATTGGGTAAAACCTGGTGATTATATCGAGGATTGTGTAAAAACAGTTGCTTATATTTAACATTTCGGACCAGGGAGGGAGCAAGGTGTACATTGATAATATATAAGTGACAATTGATAATTATAAAATTGAAGAGTAGGGATTTTGGAATTTGATAGAAACAATGTCGAACACAGCAAAAAGAGCTGAGGGAGGGACTCCAATAGAAAGAAAGGGATCCAAACAGGAAGCAGACTTCAGAACAGATATATTAAGAATGTTTGCAGAAATTAGACAAAGTGAGAAAAATCTAGAAGAGAAATTAGAACAAGTAGACAGTAAGATAGGGAAAATGGACAAAAAAATAGATGAAACAGTTAATGAACTAAAAGGACAAATAAAGGAAGTTTTTAGGAGAACACAAGCTGTAGAAGAAGGTTTGAAAAAAACGAAATTAGAAATAAGAGAGGTAAGGCGGGAAGAGGACAAACTGAAAATAGAGGTGTTAGAATTGAACAAAGCACAAGAAGAGATGAAAGATACAATAGCTATGCATGAATTGAGACAGAGGGAGAATAATCTGAGACTCAGGGCAGTACCAGAAACACAAGGAGAAAATATTAAGGAGAAATTGATAGTAGAACTGGCACAATGGATGGAATTACCAACAGAGGAGGTAGCGAGAATGATACAATCCGCTTTTAGACTAAAAGTTTAAACAACTAGGGTTAAAAAAATTGTGGGAGATTGCCTGATTACATTCAGAGATAAGGAAATGAGAAATATGATTTTGCAAAAAAACAGAGAAAAAAGATTGTGTATTAATGGAAATTACATAATAATTTTCAAAGACATACCAATTAGAATACTGAAACGAAGAGAATCTTACAAGGCACTTGTGCAAACGTTAAAGAAAAACAACATAGAGTTTAAATGGGAATTCCCGGAAGGGATCTCATTTACCTATAGGAGCAAAAGGCACAGGTTGACAAGCCCAGAGGAAACGGGGAAATTCTTGAGAAAATATAAAGAATTGAGACTAGAAAAAGAAGAAGAAAAAGGGGAAGAAGCAGCGGGAGGTACAGAGTCTGAGGAAGAAGTAGAAAGTAGAGGAGGAGAAGAAGAAGAACAGGAAGCATAAGAAATAGTTAAAGCATAAAAAGGAAATAAACAGGATTAAATCTATTCATCATCGCATTAAAAATTACTAGCTGGAATATTAATGGGATGAATGACAAGAAAAAACGAAATAAAATTGAACAAATACTAAAAAAAGAAAACTCAGATATCATTCGTCTACAAGAAACACACATAGCAAGAAGACATAAAAGAGTATTGACAAACAAAAGATTGGGAAACGAGTTTATCTCCTCAGATAAAGATAAAAAGAGAGGAGTGGTTATATATATTAAAAGGCAAATTGAAGCACAACAAATTTTTAAGGATGAAGAGGGAAGGATAATGGTGGTTCAAATAAAGTGGCAAGGAGAAAATCTAATTATTATCGGGATATATGCTCCAAATGGCAACAAGTCCGATTTCTTTAAAAAACTGGAAGAAAAATTATTAGAATACGTAGACCAGAAAATGATAATACTGGGGGATATGAACGGGGTGGTCTCCTTAGAAATGGATAGACTTAGAGAGGGAAGTGGTAAGGATGGAAAGTTACCTAGAACTTTCTTCTCATGAGTCAAAAACTGTAATTTGATTGACAGTTGGAGACTTAGACACCCGTTGGTAAAACAGTTTACGTATTATTCTGAACCTAACCAGTCGTTGTCCCAAATCGACCAGATTTGGACCTCAAATGAGTTAACTCCAAGAATTCTAAAGGTGGAAATCCAAGCTAAAACTTTATCCGATCACAATCCAATAAAATTAGAGCTGAAGGACCAGGAAGAAAGAACTTTTAGGTGGAGACTAAAAGACTACCTGTTGGATGACCAAGAAATGATTGAAAAAGCTCAGAAAAGGCTAACAGAATATTTTAAGGATAATATGAATAAAGGTACTAAAACAAAGGTGGTATGGGATGCAAGCAAGGCAGTGATGAGGGGTTTCTTCATCCAGCAAAGTGTGATCAAAAACAAAGGAAGAGAAAAATGGAAAAAAGAGATATTAAAACAGATAATGGATAATGAACAAAAGTTAATTCAAAAACCAAATAACCAGAGAGTGAAAGAGAATATTAAAGCATTGCAGTCTCAATTTGCGATGCTAATAAATAGAGAAGTGGAGTGGAACATCAAAAAATTGAGGCTGAAAAGTTTTGAATTCTCAAATAAATCGGGAAAACTGCTGGCATGGCAGATAAAAAAGAGGAAGGAACAGAGTACAATAAATAAAATAATAGTAGATGGAGAAGAGAAAACCAATCCTAAGGAAGTAAGGAAAGCATTTGTAGACTACTACAGTGGTTTATACAAAAACAGAGAGAGATTTAACTTGAGGAAAATAGAAAGATTCTTAAA